CTTCTTTCTCTTTCCCTCTTTCTCTTTCTCTCTCTCTCTGTCTCTTTCCCTCTTTCTCTTTCTTTCTGTGTGCATGTCTGTGGCTGCGTGTCTGTCTGTCTTCCTGTGTTATATTATTGCACCATATACCTAAGAAACAGATCTTGAGATCTACGTATGCTGTAGTATACACATCCGCATCCGCAATTTAGCAAAAAATCAGTCCGTAGTTTCAAATTTCAGAAATTTGATAGGTAATATTCAGTTTACCATTAGTTCACATGATTAAACTCATGTCAAACTTTGATGAGTGTTTGAATTTAACATGGTCTTGTACCCTTAGTTTGTTGAGCACAATTCAAAGAACAAAAGAAATATATGGACATTAAGCACTAGGTAGTATTACACAAAGCTATAATATTTTAACTTGAAATACATTGCAGTTTACATAAATTCCATAGCAAGATCACATGTACAGGAGTATTATTGACCTGTACTTTGCTTATTATACTTTCAGCCATACTAAAAAAATAAAATGATAATGAAGATAAATAAATCAAAAAATTAAAAATACAATGCTATAGAGCTAAGAGAGTGATGAAAAAAAGAGAAAGTAGAAGTGATTGTGAGAGAAAAAGTGCAAGTGAATGAAATAGTGAATTTGATAGAAAAAAAACTGAGTGAGAATAAAGGTGATAGAGAGTGAGAGAAATTGAAAGTGAGATATTGTAAAAATGAATAAGAGAATATGAGTGAGAGGTATGGGGAAGGGAAAGAGGTAGAGGGAGGGGGGGAAAAGAGAGGAAGAGAGAGGGAAATACATTTTTAGGTAGTGATATTGAATGGTCATTTAGTATTGGATTAATAAGATTACAAAATTTATGGGATTATTTATTTTCAAATACCTTTATGTAAATTACTAGGATTTGCTGTGACAGTTATAAAAATGTAATTAGCACAACTTTAACTGACACCACAAAGTACTACTAATGCTACTAATAGATATGTTTAAAGTTTCAATGGAGTAGCTTTGTATGAACTTTTGTCATGTTACAGAGTAGTATGTGCATCATAAGAAAATCTTACAGTAAAAAAATTGGATGAAGGCACTGTACTTATCCACCTAATCTAAGAGAGTTTAAAGATACTGCAGGTACTTTTGTTACTCTTGAAACTGATAATTACTATCAAAAGCCAAGAAATCCTAGTTGCCATTTCTGGTAAAATGATTTTTGGGTGAAACGTCTTACTTTTCCTTGCCATGAACTTTTCTATAGTTGTATTTACATTTTTGTTTGGTCAACTTTGTATCTAGTATTTTTAGTTTTCATGCTGTTTGGATCTTGTGTTTAAATACCTCATTTTCCCTAGAAGGTATGTGGTGTTTATCATACATTTGGGTCTGCCTGTTGCTATTACAAAGTAGGAATTTTCCAATTTAGTTTTTTTCATTCTTTTCTTCTAATTTTTTCCATTTGAGATTGCAAATACCCAATGGTTTAAAAGAAGGGTCATATAATGGCTCACTCTATGGACATTATTGTGATTAGCATATTATGGAGTATTTTGCATGTTCCTTTTCAATACTGTTTATACTAGATTTCTGATAAAAGTTTTTTTTCCAATGGTTTATTTTCACATAAAATTACTTCTTTTGGTATGTTGTATTTGATTATGGTCTTTTTGCTTGTGTTGTTGTTTCCTTACTTCCACTGGAGTCGTTTAACTTTACAAGTAACTCCCTTGTTATAAAAGAGTATGCCAACTCAGAAACCTCAGTTTTACAACTGGAATTTCCAACAGAACAAAACTTGGAATTTGGGTTGAACTTAAAAAGGAAAAATAAAACCACACCTACTGCAAAAATGAAAGGATTTATGCGTTTTGTACATACATTACACAAATACAAAAAGAATGAACATTTTGTACACAATACCATTTACAAACAGAGTGGTATTAACATTTTTATTAAGAAAAAACTTACATTTAACTAGGAAATGGAGGACGCATTGATCAGCCTCCTCCTAGATGGGGTAGGAGAACAGTGTACAAGAGGAGATATAGCAAGCTATGTACAATATAAATAATTTTTAAAATTATATAAACAAAAATCTCCACATGTTCACAGGAAGCTTTAGTTAATTTAGGAAGTCAATAAAAGTAAATACATACAAGGAGCAAATTAATACTAATAGCCACTTCACAAAAGGAAAATAAAGTTTGAGAAAAAATATAAAAATTGTGGGGGGGATTACAATAAGTACACAGATTAGGGAGGAAATAAGGAACTTCACACTTTATATACATATAAATAAAATACTACTTGTATGGTATGGACATGGAGTTTGCTTGACTGTTTAGCTCTTTGTCTATTGCAGTCAACTAGAAACATAATGATTGTACACTATCAAAATTTTCAATAGGAACACATACAAAATACTGGATTCTGACAATGTATTTACATGCCTCCCAGTTGTTAACTCAAATTGTGTTAAAAAAATTTATTTATTAATAAAATATATATTTCAAATGTACCATTTAGATTAAGTTTCTCAGTGACTGATACATCTTTACACCTGTTACGCAAACTTAACAAATATTAAGTGAATGTATTCTTCAGTATGGATGATTGTAAAGGACCAATTGCTCATTTTAACCATAAAATACAATTTGCATAACCATTTCTACATTCCTTATAGAGCAAGAACAATTAAAATTCCATCATTATCCAAGAGAATGATGGCCAAGCAATTCTTCCCATGACTGGGAATACAAACATACTACAGTGAGATAAGCTACTTGTAAGTATAGAAGGAGTGGGTCTGCCTTCTTCATCTTTTAACCTTGGGCACTTTGAACCCAAATGGCCTATGCTACAAGAAGTCTTTATGCAGCTGAAGTGTCTGAACATAGTTGTGAGATGTCACTGCATCAGAGAAGTATTTTTTTCTGTTTCTGTTTATTTTGTTTTTTGCATTTTTTTATTTTTATTTTTTGTTATTTTTTTGTGTTTTTATTTTTTATGTTTTTTTTGGGGGGTCATTTAACTTCATTACAGCTGGCATGCATTTTCCAAGTACACAACACTGATGCACATACATATCCCTAGCATGATACTGGCCATTGTAGTTTATGGTCTGCACCATTCTTGGTTTATCACTGGCATTTTCATGAAGCACCAGTCTTAAAACAAAAAGAAAAAAAAAAGAAAAAAAAAAGAAAAGTTAAATCAAATATGATTTTACTTAACATACAACAATCCAAATGCACAACCTTAGTTTATGTGTAGCATAGTGGTACTCATATTTCAAGTCTTTTATAAGCTGACAGACCCACACCTATGATGAACACATCTAATGGATCCACAGTACTTAAAGAATCGACATGTGGATTGCCTACAAAAAATAATAAATAAAAAAATCAAGATCATAAATAAATAAAAGAAATGATTCTTTGGGTCGGGAATGTATCAGCATTACGAGAATATTGGAGATTTAATGGAGAGCTTTCTTAAAAACATGACACATTTTTTCCCTCATGTAGAAACAATAATTAATCATTATACAGGAGTATTTTACTGGACAGCGCTCTGGTTCCTCTATCCTTAAAATGATAAATTATAATTTCAATTAATGGCAATCACTGTGAGGAATCACTGAATAACTTTAACTTTGACTTCTTTGATCTATAGGTGAATTTATACTAACCTATGTAAGGTAGAAGTTTTAAAAACACCATTTGTCTATCTTTACAAACATTTCTTTACAACTTCTAACAAGGGACTCCAAAATGATGAAAGAAAAGGGAAATGCAAATTCACTAACGACAAAATATTTACACGTTTGCGCAGGACAAGCTTCAAGAAATAGACTATGTCCACCAAAAGCGTATCAATGGGTGTGACCCATACAATGGAGTGCTAAAACTGATGAGTCACTCAGCTCTATACACTACACAGGAAAGAGGGTAGGATGAAACTACACTCCATGGTGGGGGGAAGGTATGACCGCACCGCATTTGGGGTTGCCTAAACAGACGGGCTAACACCATTTTAAAAGCATTCAGGTACAAATGATCATTGTGACCATGTTGTCTTGACCTAATATACATTTTTTTTGTCTCTAGTTTACTCTTTTTAGGCCAAGCCATCGATGACCACTAAGATAAAGTTTCCAGTGGTATGCAGTCCAATCAATTTGAAATGGAAATGTATGGCACTAACATCCCATGAAACAAAACAAAAAAAAAAAAAAAAAAAAAAAAAAAAAAAAAAGAATAAATAAATAAAGAGAAAAAAAATTGTGCTGTAACAGCTCATATACGTGAGCTAGTCTTCCAGAGTATAAAAATATTTTGAAATATTAAAACGAACATTAAAACTATAACACTTAATGCTTACAATGTGGAAAGAGGTGAAGACTGTCAAGAAACACCATCAGCCGCATGGCGCAGTGGCAACCTCAACTGTGGCGAGTGACAGCCACCTTTATGCTGAGGTCTCCTCTTGGACTGGAGAGCCACTAGGAGTGACATATGCTGTACCAAACAGTGCCACTTTCAGAATTATAGCAGGTGCCTTCTACTGCAGTGCTATTGCTAGTCATGGGTTACGTCCATCAGAGAAATGTCACTATGTAAATGTTTGTGATTGCAAATCGTACTTATCTTTTTTACAATTTCTAACAATTTCTGTCAATCACCACAGATCATTAGTAATAATACGAGTTTCCTGTTCTTACTGCACATTGCCACTGCTTGAACCTCTGGTGGCTCTGGTAGATGAACGTCTTCCACTCCCAGAGCCTACTTTTTTCTGTTCCCCCCCAACACAACAAGAGCATTTTTTCTTTTTAGCATGGTCACGGGATGAGGAGCGTCTGGTGTTCACTCCACCTGGAGAAAAGTCATGGGAGTGTACAGTGGGAGGGCTCCCATCACGACTGCTAGCACTGCTCTCCTGGCTCAGACGTCTCCGTCTTCTTCCACTACCTGTGTTTGGTGAATCATGTGACCCTGGAGTAACAGCGCGCTCAGTACTGTAATTACTACTTGTATCTGAAGTACCACTGACATGTCGCCCTCTAACTCCCCGTGCTAAGCCACAATCTTCATCCAAATGGTTCAACATATCATCTTCTATTTTGAGAACATCTCCGTCACTGCGCCGCCCAGAGCGTGTACCACGCCCTCGCTTCAAATCACTAAGAATATCTCCTTCACTTCTTCTTTTTGCACCTCTTGTTGTCCTCATCAAAGCTTCATCACAACCTTCTCTAAACTCTGATTTGCACTCTACATTTGTTCCAGTCAAATCATCATCTTCCTTCAGTTCACCTTCAGACTTCATTGATTTCACACGGCTCCTACAAGCTGGATTTTGTACCACTGAGTTGGGAGATGCAGCTGCATTTCTTTGAGATATTCTTCGTTTGCTTCTTCCTGTGCTGCTATCTTCTGACTTTATGTCCACAGCACTAGAGTCTTCATCATGTCCATTCTTTGTTGGAACTTCATCACTCCTTCCATCAACTTCATTTTGAAAACTGCTCTTTCTCCTTTCTGGAGTTGTAGCTAATCTCTGACTCCTCTTCCTATTATTTCCTTCCTGGTGAGTAGAATTCTTACTGACTAGATCCATAGTTCCATCTGACTTACTCTGTGACCCAGACTTCTTTTCCTTTTTAATCATAGCAACCTCTGCAACGATCTTAATGTCATCTATTTCCTCCTTCACCTGTGGCTGTTTCCCCTTTTTCTCCCGAGCTTTGGAATGGGAAATTTGCTGGGTTTGTTTTATTCTCTCTTGGTGAAACTCTGAAGGGCCAGCATCATCTTCGGACTTTTCTTTTTTCACGACCTTGTGCTGCCCATTTGTAGGCACTGAAGGCTGATTTGTGGCTGGTTTGTTCTGTGCTCCAACTGTGTTGTCAAACCTCCAAGGGGCCTCCTGTGTGTCTTGATTAGCTGGATCTCCACCACTAGCCTGACTGGTATGAGCTGATACACCAGTCATATTAGCTACGGGTAGTTCTAGTTGAGTTGGTGACCTAGTTGAGCTAATGGTGTGATCCTGCTCACTTTCCCTTGGATGAAGATCTATTGTTACTTCATCCTGCTCTTGCAAAACTTGCTGATGTGGTGTCTGTTGCTGTAACTGAATCTGTGGCTGCTGTTGTGTATTCACACCACTAGCTGGGGTAGCACTTGACATGTCTTCACTTGTACTAGACGAAACACTAACACCATCTCCTTCCATAGAAAATAGTCCAGGGAAACCAGTAGACGAATCACACAGAGAATCTTCACTATGATTTACATCAAGGGGAATGTTAGCAGTCAGAGCATCATTGAGAGAGGGAGACTGTGCCATCATTGAATCTGCTGATCTTGGAGACCACGCAAGTAGCGGACCTGCAGACACTAAATCACTAAGAGCCGGTGAATTAGTCCGACCCTCCATACCAGCTACAAGCGGCAATGATCCCGCTTCTAACCCTTCTAATCCTAATCCAGCTCCCGACTGATGCAGATAAACATCACCAGATGGAGATGCTAGCGCCCCTAGACCTGCGTCACTCTCCAAAGACACTCCCGTTACAGACAGATTGGGAGCAGAAGGAGCTGACGAATATCCAGGCTGGGTCAGAGTGGGATGAAAGCTATCATCGGAGGTGGGCTGGGCTTCAGTGAATGGCAAGTCGTGAGTGTTGCCTGGAGAGGAGTAAGAAGAACCCGAGTGTTGGGATTGAGAGACAGAAGGAGAGAGAGCTGCCTCTGTCATGTAAGCACTCTGTAGCTGCTTAGTAAGTGTTGCTGGACTAGGAGGAATCTGTACCTCCTCCACACCTGTAAAAGAGTTGTAATTACCACAATGAACTAATAATTTTGCAAAAGAACTTCCACCACCTTAATTGTCTTCATTCTCTGTTCCTTGGACAATCTTAAAGGATTCTTTCAACACTTTCCACAAAGGTGCTTTCAACTCCTTGTACGTTTGTTGAATTCATACGAGGTTAAAGTTAGGTACTAAATGCCACATTCCAAAGACCTTGTGAGGAGTGTGAGGAGTTTTGTACAGCAAGTACGTGTTCAACTGCTATTGAGTTTGCTTTATAATTAGTCTACCTTTGAGGTAAAAAATTGAAATTCTGCATTGCCCTGGACTGCATAGGAAGCAATCCATGTTTAGTAGGAATAGCAAGTAAAAGTTCTGCTTCATACTCTAAATTCAACAAATCTTTGTTACACAACAAACCAAATCTTAAACTTTTAAACACCTGTATTCTTACTGGAGCATTCATAAATGATTTATTATCAGTTACATGCTCTGTTTCATTCATTTCTGAATATGTATTTCATATTTTTGTATTTCTTAACTTGTCATATATTAAATGTCTGTTACTAAAAAAAGACAAAATCCTCGTAATTAATTTTACTTTATTTTTAAAAAAATCATATTAATTCACTTTCTTTACACAAGAAAGAATTATAAATATCAAATCCTACCAATTCAACACAAGTTATTTACCAGTGAGAAATGTATGACTGATAATCTGTATCTTACATCTAAATAAATAAATACATTTTAATAACACAGGTACATTCATAAAAATAAATTCTGAGAAAAATAAAAATGAATAACTAAAAAACAGCACAGACGTCACATCTACGTGCATTACAATATGGCATTCAATTCCAGTTACAAATTCAAATAATTAACTGCTACAAAATCTCTGGGGAAATTCCGGAATAAATGATGATGTAACTACCTTAAACACATAAATTTTGTGCAAAAAATTCCCATATTTCTGTATGAAACAGACATGCTGTTAAACAAAACTAGCATGCAGATATTGAACACATTACAGGCACATGTACTTCATATATTAATAGAAGTGTTTTCGTCAAAGTGGAGACGTAACATCATCTAACAATAAAATTATTCGATATATCACCTCGCCCAATAAGCCTCAGAATTCACAAAGTAAACACCACCACAAGCCATGGGTAACATTCACTAAAGAGTTTGCAACATTATATTGTAAGTAGTTCCACCATAATTACCTTTGAATGTAATTGGATGACAATACATTCAGTACAATGTATAGTAATCAGTTACTATTTAGGCATTGAAGTCACAAACAAAATCAACCATGCACTAATTTCTTTTATTTGAAGGGTAGTTTTTATTTGCTGATTTTTTAAATGTTATTCTTTGGACCAACATATATGAATACCCTGTGCTTTTCTTTTACTTTCTTTTAATTTGAAAGCTCTACACTACATATGCCATACCCAATGAATAATCTTAGAAAATATAGCTCTCATTACTCAATAGAAATATTCATATCCACAGCTATATATCACATAATGAATTTAGCAGGTCAATTTTGTTACTTGCAATTACAATATTTCATTGCACAGGATGCATAAAGTAACTGATACCATTTTCTATGGTTTGAAAGGAATGTGAACACCAGTGCTTATCCTGGATTTTATTTTGTACAAAAAATATATAAAATAAAATCCATCTACAGATAACTCCCATTCAGCATGCAACAGAAAAAAATTGTTTTGCCATCCAAAGACAAACTATAAGATTTCTAATATGTTAGTTGAGGCATTTGAGATCTTTGGGAAAATTGGAATTCTCTCATGTTTGCATGAAGGTTAGTGAATCCAGCCCCGACTAGTACAAACACCAATTAAAATAATGGGTTACAGAGTCAGACACACCAAAAAGGGATCTCTTCACAGAAGACATGCATTACAAAATAAAATAAATTCTCCAAGAGGGTTTAAAAAAAAAGAAAAATTTCAAATCATATAAATAGTAATGAGGATAAACTGCAGCAAGTTAATCACATTTACTTACTGAGATCACTTTTCAAGGAGTCAATTGAACTGCTTCTCATGTCTTGTGGTCGAGATGCTAGACGTATCCGTGAGTGTGTAGTTGCAGGGGATGTCTCCAAGCTGGAGGGACCAGACATGGGTGACATGGCTGATCCACTGTCTCCCCCACCACCGCTGACTATTAGTGGAGATGTCACTGCACCTCGTGCACCTGACCTATCACTGCTAACACCACTCACCACCACCATTGTTCTTGCTCCAGTACCTCCAGATCGGATTACAGACGTAGATTTCCGAGGCAGCTGTGACTGCTGAAGCTGTGCACGCTGAGGAAGTTTGTTTAAAGGTACTGAACCAGTTGTTGGTGATGTAGATGCTTGTGTAGTGGTGGGTGCCTGGGAATTGGACTGGTGCAAGGCATTTCCTGGAGAGAAATCCTTCTCTTGGACCCTTTGCTGCTCTTGCTGAGAATTTTTCTGCTGATTCTGTTGTGTTTGCTGTTGTCCTTGTTGAGGTTGGTGCTGCACCATGAATGACTTGGTTAATGTGAAAAATGGAGGCAATGGTCCACCTAACCCGTCTCCTCCACTGTGTTCACTGCTATTGCTTTCCTCTCCCATTTGAAATGATGATGGGGTGGGAGGTAGTTCAGCAGCAGGAGATGGTGTGTGAGGTGAAGCTGCAACAGGCTGTGGTGTGGGTGGGGATGTGACAGTGATGGCCTGAGGAGTCAGAGGTGATGCTGGAACTACTGACAATGGAGATGGACCTGTACCCGATGTACCACTTGGTGTGGATACTGCAGCAACTGTCTGTGTATTGCTGTTCACAGGATTACTTGTTATTGTGTGGGCAATTGTGATAGGTGGGGTATTGGTAACTGAACCAGAGTTTGTTATTTGGGATGCAGTAGTAGCTGCTGGTGTGCTTACAATGGTAGAAGGGGGCATGGTTGGAAGAGTTACATGTATCGATCGTGCTGATGTTAATCCAAGTAATTCTTCACTATTGGTTACTCCAAGCTGCTGCACAACACTGCACTTTTGTTTTGGTGGGGTTGAAGTAAGCTGTTGAACAGCAACCTGCTGTAAAACTTGCTGCCCTCCAGATGTCTGGACTACCACTTGTTGGACTGCTTGCGGCCCACCTGCCTGTTGCTGCTGAACTATTTTATTTACAACTGTTGGACTTTGTGTTATTGGAGAGGACCCACCTGTCAATAAAGTGGCAATGTGACTTTCCATCAGGTCATTCCGTCCTCATTCGAAAGCGTCCTTGAATGGTTACATTGGGGGGAGGACCAGACTGTCCTGTACCTTTCACTTTGTTCAAAGGCTGACGGGTTGTAATGGCAGTGACTTTTCCACGATGACGAATAAGTTGTACAACCCTGCCACCTCCTAATCCTTGGGTAAGGCTTGTTGCCCCACCTTCCACTTTCACATTTGATACTACAACACCTTGCAGCAACTGAGGAGTGGTGGCTGCGACTACTTCTTGCCCACTTTCCACTTTTATCTTGTCTTCAGAGATGATAGAACTCCCTGTGGTAGCTGGGCCTTGGGTAGTTAAACCCTGACCTGACACTACCTGTGTAGTATACTGAACTGTTGGAACCCCTGAAGAATTTCCTGGGAGTCCAACTGAGCTATCATTAGCTGGCCCTGGTGATGGGCTTGGAGATGGACATCCAACAACAGAACCTTCTGACACTGCTGGACTACTCACTGAAGTGCCTTCAACTTTCTTCACCTGACTCTTCTTCTTACTTGAAGACTTCCCATCACTCTTTGGAGGTGGGCAATTTTTTCTATTACGAGGAGCTGGCTGCTGTGGTGTTATTACAAGCTCTTGCTTATAGCGCTCAAGAATGGCATGAATGCGAGATCTTATTTCTTCATTCTCTTCAACCTGTGTCTTGGCTACAGTTGGCTGCTTTGGTGTGGATGTCTTTGGCGGAGGTGGTGTCTTGGGCTTTGCCACAACTGGAGGGGTGGCTGGAGGGACTACCTTTTGTTTTGGAGGCTGCTTCTTACTTTTGCTAGAAGTAGAAGATGGTGATGATGCTATAGAAGAGTGAGAAGAAGTAGAGGACAATGTAGGTGATGGGGCAGTAGGAGGTTGTTGACCCTGAACCCCTGTGCCTGCCACTGTGACAAGGCCTGTTCCCCCACCACCATGATTAACTAATATCAGGGTTCCTGCCTGTGTGGTACTTGGGATTGTTATGTATGTTCCTTCTGTTAGGCTAGTTCCTCCAGCACCATAAACAGTGGTGGGCACTGAATATACATAATTTGAGGAGGTTGTCACAGCAGGAGTGTCATTAGCCATACTCAAAAGCTGAGCTGCAATCATTGATTCTTCAGATGACATGGTAGCATTTGAGTAGTTCTCTGTACTTGCTTCACCATCACTAGCATCTTTGCCCGACTTATTGGATACTTTCTCAAACACAGATTCAAATTCTCTTAGTTGTTCTAAAGTCTCTGAACTGACAGCATTTGTTGGTGTAAGTGGCAGAGAAGACAGACTAGCCTGCTGCTGGGGTGCTGTACTTGTTGGGATGTTGCTACTAGTTTGTCCACTAATGCCTTGGACCCCACCTGGTAATGATAGAGTAGCAGCTGCTGCACCACCTCTAAGGTGATTTAAAGCCACTTGATTCACTAACTGACCAGCTGATGGTTTAACTGCTGTGGTCAATGTCTGTGTGCCCACACTCTGAGTACTGGTAGAACTTACTAGGGCTGTTTTCAAGTAATGACTCAACCTCTCACCAAGGCCTTCATCTTGAGGTATACGAGCAACAGTTATGCCTGTGGTGGAACTTCCAGCATTTTTGTCTGATTCCTGTTGTTGTTGTTGTTGTTGTTGCTGCAATTTGGCTCCTAACCCTTCTTCAAATGATGAACTTTCTCCAGAAGGCTGTGTGGTAGAAGTCTGTGGTCTTAGGGTACGAATGACAAGACTGCTGCGACCCAACATTTTTTGAACAATTGTGGAAGGAGGGATCTTCGCTCTAACAGGTACACCTTGGGGTTGCACAACAGTAGCTTCTACGCTACCTGTAGATGTGTTTGTTCCCTGGCTTAGAGCTAGCAGTTGTGGCTTAATATGTGCTGCAGGATGAGTGCCCAAACCCTGAAGTGCCACTGTGTGGGGCACCACTACAGTTCTGACTATCTGTCTGTTCTGAACATTCTGCAATATTTTTACATTGTGCAACACATTTACTTGTCTTCCTCCAGTTTGATTAAGTACTCCTGTAACTTGCTGCTGAGGACTTGTTGTAGTTCTTATAGGGCCACTGCTTGATTTTATCACTCGTGTTCCTGCTGGGAGTCTCAAATCAAGAGATGCTGAATGCACTATTCCAAGTCCTGTTGATCCATCACTTGTGTGCACCTGTACAAGCTGACCTGGAACTAACACCTGTTGCACAGCTCCACCACTTCCTTCACCAACACTGCTACTTCCTCCTACAACACCACTACCACTCACCACAACCACCACACCACTACACTGCTTGTAGATCCACCAACAACACCACTAGCCACAATAACACCACTATTACTACCAGATCCACTGGCAATAACTACACTCCCACTATTACCAGTATTGGCTAATGCACCCATGACTGCTGTAGTTACTTGTCCCTCACCTGACAGAGTCATAGGAACCCCACTACTACCCACAACTGATGTGAGAGTGTGGGGTAGAGCTGAGGTAATGGTGGTGGTGGCTGTGGTAGATGGCGCATGCAGAGGGCTGGGTGGAACAGGACGGTCCCTTAGTAATGTTTCTAACATGCTAGCTGCAGGTACGTCCCCCGGAGGACTAGCCACGGTGGTGGTGCAGGTGGTGGCCCCCCGAGTGCTGCAGATGATCTGAGTGACTGTGGCTGTGCTGTCAACACCACTAACCAAGCTGGTCATTGGTGCATCACTAACACAAGCGGATTCACTCAGAGCAGTATCCCAGGGTTGCTGCAGCTGTTGCTGCTGCTGGCCATTACTCCCACCTAGTGTCCCCAAGGGGGAACTAAGACTGCTGGTACTGGAGTTGGGGACACTCCCTACCACCGTGGCTGAGACTAAAGGGGCCGGCATTGAAGATGTAGTTACTGCTGGCCCACCTGTGGCTGTTGTCACTGTTCCTGAAGGAGAACTAGCTATTACAGTTGGTGCTGGACTGCTATTTGTTGTTTCTTGTAATCCCATGGTGCTTGTTCCAACTACTCCACGTGAATATGTTGTGCGGATGGCAGATGCATTAGTTCGCACTGCCATCACTGAATTACCAGCACGACTAGTGCTACCCATTACAGTTACCGAGGGTCTGGGAACGACCGTTGAGAATGTTCCAGGGCGTGTGACTACAGCACGTGGTCCTGCACTACTAGGCCCACCATTATTAAGCCCACTTGGTCCTGCACCATCAGATTTGGGTTTTCTTACCACTGTTGTACCCTTAGGCAAGACCCGACTCAAGTTTGTTGGGTTATTTTTGTCTGAAGGGGGAAGATTTGGAGGATTATTGCTTACCGGCATAGCTATTGCACGCACTGGTAAGCTGTCATTATTGAATTGTCCACTCATGGCAGATATGGCATTTTCTGGAGACATTATTCTATTCAAAACATTTTTCTGAGCATTTGCAAGAGATAACGTACTCCCTTTTTGTGACTTATAGGTAACAGTTGTACCTTGTTTCTTGAGATAATCAAGACTAGCATCAAGTGACATGTTTTTTCTGGTAATAGTTACACTCGAACCCTTGCCCCTAAGTGCTGGATTCTGTTGAAGTAAGAACTTGGCATATGAATCTTCATAACCCGATGATGGTGGTTTGTTCATCATTCTCAGATAATTGCCATTTCCTCCTGGGTTTGGCTGACGAGTACTACTAAGCAAGGCTCTCTGAAGTGGGGCTACTCGTACTTTACCATCTTTGGTGCGAAGGTAACACTGAACAGAAGTAGAGCGGGGAAGAGAGACTGGCACTGATGAACGTGGTGTAGTTGTGGGATTGGCAGGAGCCACCAGAGATCCTGCATATCTCCAGGTGCCTTTTGGCTGACTAGATGGAGTTGTATGCATTGGTCCTGTACTCCTGCCTGCTACAACTGTTGTTGCAGACCTTTGCAGCTGTTGATCCACTATGGACTTATCACGTTCAGTGAGCACTACACTTGGATTGAGGTTGAGTGAACTTAAACGAGGAGCAAACCGATTAGGAGAACTTGGCGCTCCTTCAAACTTTGCCTCCTCTGACATTTCACCTCCACATTTCTGATGTCGAAAAAGACGTAGAGTATTTAATAGATTCCTGTCTCTCTTCACTTTTCCGGTGTCTGCATCTATACGAATCCTCTTGCTCCTGTCTTGATTACTGACAGCAGTCACTCTCTTGCCTTCAATGACAGTACCCATGTCTGGATCCATCTTCAATATTCTTGTTTTTCCCTTGTCAAAGTCAGACTCCTCTGACTCCGACAGTGATAACACATAACGAGTGTCCTTCATCCTATCAGTCAGATCGTAATCAGAGTCAGAATCAGACAACCTGTTCACTATTTTCTTGGGTCTCCTTCGCCCTCTCTTACTACTCTTTTCAAAGTCAGTTGTATCAGAGTCTGCAGTCGATGAATGGCCTGCTCTGCCATGTACAGGACGATTACCTATATCTGAATATTCACTCTCTGACTCATATTCCATAAAATGTTCATATCCTTTTTCTATACCTGTGTACTCATTTATTTCTGCAGAAGGCATGTTCCGAAACTGACTATAATCAATATTAAGATACTTTAATTCTTTGGTCATATTCTTCGCACTATCAGAATCATTCAAATATCCCTGGCAAATAACAGAGAGTTCACGCCAAGGTAGCATCCATGACAGGACCTGCCATCTGGGGCTACTTAAAACCACTGCCAAATCATCACACAGTTCCTTTGACAATCCCAACTGATCAGCATCAAGAAGCTGGGCAGCCTGAGTAAGAACATCATAATGGTTGAAAAAAGCCTTTGGTGAGCTGCTTGCTGTATTTGAATCTTGGGTATGTTTCTTAGGAGTTTCTTGACTCAATTGTTCAATGAAATTTTCTGTACTCCTGTAAAATTTATCCATGGAATCTACATCTTCCTTGGTTCTACTGTCACCCAGAGCACCGTCATTGTCACCGATTTCCTCACCATCAACTACATCTTTGGTTTGTAACAAAGAAATCTCTTTTATTTGAGCATCACTTTCGCTTATAACAATTTGTGACTCTTGAGAATTTGGAACAAAGACATTATTTTCAAGGGACTGTCCAGTGTCTATCGTTATGTGCGTCACACACTGCCTATCCTGTGGAGGATCTTCAGACTCGTGGGGAGGAAAAGAACATCTGTTACTTATGGATGACATATGGTCCCTTGTCTCTTGGGTAGTAACTTGTACTTCACTGGCACTGTTCACTTCAAGTTCATTAAAACTTACACAATTATGTCCATCAACACCATTAAGAGTATTTTGGACAGAGATACTTTCACTGGACTGAATTTCTGTAAATGACCTAGCATCATACATATGATCTGGGTCGTGTTGGGCTCTTAGTGACTTTTGGAAGGAGGGTGGGTCAGGGCAGGGAGTACTGGACTGTGTCATTGGCATGTCACCTAAGCTATGTGGTGTGTCCCTTGTGTCAACAGTGGTGGTGCTGGAAGGAGTAGGTGGGAGGCACAAGGCTGGAGATCCTTGTGTTGTTCCTCCTTCTTGTGTCCCCTCTGGAACGGGAGTCACAGGCTGTCCAGATGAACACAGGTCTTCAGCTGGGGTTGGTGGTGGCTCTGTTGCTAAGCTGCTGAGCATGACTAGACGGTCTGGTGTGGGGTGGAGACTAAATGCAGTGAGAATACACTCTCGGGCTACATTCTCATGCTTGATGAACACTTCAGCAAGGTCCATAAAGCCAGCTGCCATTTGCTGTTCCAAACGTGTGTGTTCATCCTTGCTGCTGTCCTTGCACTTCAGCTTCAGAGCTTCTAAGCTGTTCATATCCATGGTGAGTGCACGGATAAGGAGCTCAGTCACTAAGGAAGCCAATCGATTTCCAAACTGTGGAAAAAATAATGATTATCAACTATAAAACTTTAAAATCACATCCATAAATACTTCTCTAATATTACTAACATCAAAATGGCAACATGGAATGAATAGTCTTTAACTAAAGAACACAACAGAACAGACTCAAACGAAATGCTGACACACCATTAGACAAAAGAGTACAGACAGTATAGTACAAAAATATTCAATACAATACACAATACTA